TAAAATCATTGATTATTATCCACCCTGTTCTGATCACTTGCTTTGGTTTAGGAATATCTTCCAGACTTTAATCGATTTCACAAATTATTGTAGTGTAGTTTCTAGAAAGGAGTTTTTTTTTTTTGTTATGTCTTCATGATACCAATGTATATGTACAAATGGAATAATTAATAGGGTTTGGAAGCACCTGTCCATCATAGCATCCAACTGTTTCTTCCTTTCAAATTCTATGAGCTTTTGTTCAAGATTCTAATACGTGAAAATCTTAGCCCTTGGCTATGGCTCATAAATCTTGTTAGGCTATTAAAACTAATAAGATCCCAAGGGGAACCATAATAAAATTCACAGTAGCTTGAAAGAGGCAGAATGCCTAGGAAGGATTATTAATAGTGGATTAGTTCCTAAGCAGTAAGTAGTACTTTTTGAGATACACCAGCTCAGAAGGCCATGAGCTAAAAATGCCCAAGGGATGGCTGTGGATATTTAGGACAAAGAGAAAATGATTTCAAGATGGGCTAGGAATAGAGGACACAAGTGTTAGGAATAAATAGAGAGACCAAGGTGGATTTTAAAGAAACACAGATATGTTGATAGAAAACATTTGTTGAAAGATGAACCTAGTGTATTGCGTAATAGAATCAGAAGTTTCCAGACAATTGACATCTAATGACTTGCTTCAATTGCTACAAGTGAACTATTTTATATGAATAAATATAAATTTGGGGCAAAAATATCACCATTGTAACAGTAAAATGTTTCCTCCCTCCAAAGTGGAATATATTTGTCTGGGCTTCTAGCCAGCCATTCCTGTGTGCTGGGCATTCTACTCCCTTTCCTCCATTCTATTTCTCATTTAAATCTGCTACAGCCATTGAGCATATTCAGTGTTCTTTTGACAGGAGAATTTAAAGAAAGTTTTCTTGTACTATAACAAGCCTCAAAATTCACCAAATCTATCTTGTTTGCTGGTCTTGTTTAGTTAAATGTCTGGTGGCACTCACCTTGAATTTACTATTAGAAATATCATGATACAATATGATATGCATCTAAGTTTCCTTTTAATCATGAAGTCTCAAAGTTTTTTAAAGAAATTGAAGGGTACTAAACAAACCAAACAAGGGACTTCTTAAGGCAAGGTACTGAGATTTTATAGATTAAAAAAGAAGAAAGCAATGATCCAAAACTTAGTTCAATTTGGAATGGTTGTACCTGAGGCGCAGGTGGGTGCCACCATTGGGGTGGTGATGGGCAGGGGAAAGTATGGTGGTGGGGGTCTAACAGGCCTACATAGGAGAAGGAGGGACTGATGTTTGAAACCAGTCCCCTCTTCTGATTATTCCCCCAACCAGATGGTTCCTGGCAGCAATATCAGCCGGCCCCCAAGCCTGACGGTGTTGCTGTTAAACACCAGGTTGGTCCATAATAAAACATCTCTTATATATGATTTGATCATAGATGAGGGGGGTGACCTGGCATGTATTACCAAGATGGTAATACATGGGTGGGAGAAGGGGGAGAGGTCTCCCTTATGCAGTTATGCCCACTCAAGTATCTGGTGCAACATCAGCCATGCCCGAAGGGGAGGGGTGGTCACCTTGGTTTACCGAACCTCCATTTCCCTCACGAGGCTTCCTGTCCCTTCAAGACCAGATCTGGAGTGTTTGTACCTGGTGTTGGGTGATCGAGACAGATTAGGGACCGTGCTGGTGTACTGTGCACCCTCCTGCCCAGCAGACTCCCTGCCTGAGCTGACAGAGATCATCTTGGACCTGGTGTTGAGGACCCTCAGCCTGGGGCGGCTCAGGACTTCATGGCTTCCATGGCAGCCAAGGGGCTGTCTCAACATGTCACTGGCCCAACCCATGAAGGAAGTCACATGCTTGACCTGGTTTTCTCAATGGGGCAGGAAGAGGGTGGCCTGGAAGTGTGAAATTTGATCCTAACTCCTTTGTCATGGTCAGATCACTTCCTCGTGAGGTTTGAGCTCAGGGCTGATCTCTCCCTCTGGATGAGTGCAGGCCCTATTAAGATGGTCTGTCCCTGGAACTGGATGGATCCAGATGGATTCCTGAGGGCTCTGGGGGATTTTCCGGTGGATAAAGCTGGCACTCTTGTTGATGTCCTGATTGATTCATGGAATAAGGTGATGACCAGGGCAATTGACACGATTGCTCCTAAGCGTCCGATCCCACCTAGCAGAGCCCACTCAGCACCGTGGTATATGCCTGAGTTGCAGGCGATGAAGCAGGTTGGGAGATAATTAGAGCGCAGATGGAAGAAATCTCAGGACAAATCTGACTGAACACACGTGCTCATTATCGAGCCTATGCTGTGGCAGTGAGGATGGCAAAGAGGCAGTTCTCCCCCACTTTCATTGCTTCTTCACAGAGCCGTCCAGCTGAGCTTTTCCAAGTAGTGCAAGGCCTGACATATTCTGGCCAGGAAAATGATGTGGTTGCACCTTCGGCAGCCCACTGTGACGACTTTGCCCAGCACTTCAAGGAAAAAATTGCTCAGATTTGCTGCAATCTGGACTCCACAGTTGATATGGTTCTAGTACAGGAAGTGTCCAGAACGTCATCTGGTCCATCATTATTGGATGAGTTTCAGTTACTGCAGCCTGATGATGTGGACAAGGTGTTTGGAATGGTACATCCTACCACATGTCTTCTTGCCCCTTGCCCCTCTTGGCTACTTAAAGAAGCCAGTCATGGAATTGGTCCCTGTGTCCAGGAGGTTATCAACGCCTCACTAAGGGAGGGACAGGTCCCTGCCCCCTTGAAGGAGGCAGTGATCTGGCTTATCCTGAAGAAGGCATCTCTGGACCCAGAGGTGACCACCAACTTTAGACCAGTGGCCAGCACTCCATTTTTGGGCAAGGTGTTAGAGCAGATGGTGGCAGGGCAACTCGAAACACTCTTGGATGAAACGGATTATCTGGACCCATTTTAGTCTGGGTTCAGACCCAGCTATGGTACTGAATCTGCCTTGGTCACCCTGTATGACGACCTGTGCAGGGAGAGGGACGGGGGAGTACATCCCTGTTGGTTCTCCTGGACCTCTCAGCAGCTTTCGATACCATTTACCATGGTATCCTTCTGGGTAGGCTGGCCGGGTTAGGAGTAGGAGGCTCTGCTCGGCGGTGGTTCCACTCCTACCTGGCTGGCTGATTCCAGAAGGTGGTGCTGGGGGACTATAGCTCTGTGCCATGGCAGCTTTGCCATGGGGTTCCACAGGACTCTATTTTGTCCCCCATGCTCTTTAACATCTACATAAAACCGCTGGGAGAGGTCATCAGGAGGTTTGGGCTGCGGAGTCACCAGTATGCTGATGACACCCAGCTCTACCTCTAGTTTACATCTACTCCAGGTGAGGCAGTGGCTGTACTGAACTGGTGCCTGGCTGAGGTAATCCAGATAAGTCCTGTTGGTGGGCAGATTTTGGTTTCCGGTAAGTGATTTTGACCTTGTCCTGGACGGGGTAGCACTCCCTCTAAAGGACAGGGTCTGCAGTTTGGGAGTACTCCTTGATCCAGAGCTGTCACTAGAAATCCAGGCGGTGGCAAGGAGTGCTTTTCTACAGCTTTTGCTGGTCCATCAGCTGCGTCCTTACCTGGATGAGCACTACCTAGCAACAGTGATACATGCTCTGGTAACCTCCCGGTTGGATTACTGTAACACGCTGTATGTGGGGCTGCCTTTGAAAACTGTCTGGATACTTCAGTTGGTTCAGAATAGAGCGGCCAGGCTGTTGACGGGGGCCGGTCATTATTCTTATATAACACTGGTCCTATACCAGCTCCACTGGCTTCCAGTTGAAGTCTGGGCCAAATTCAAGGTGCTGGTTTTGACCTATAAAGCCCTAAACAGCTTGAGACTGGGATACCTGAAGAAACGTCTCCTTCCTTATAGGCCCTCATGCCCCTTAATCTGCAGGAGAGGCTCTGCTCTGGGAACCCTCCCTGAAGGAGATAAAAAGGACATCTACTTGGAGTAGGGCCTTCTCTGCAATGGTGCCCAGATTGTGGAATATACTCCCCGGAGAGGTTTGCCTGGCACTGAACCTATATTCTTTTCGGCATCAGGTCAAAGTCTTTTTATTCAATCGTTATTTTAAAAATTAGTATTTTAATGGTTTTATCAGTCTGTTTTGATTCAATTTTTATTGGTTATATATTGTTTTATTATATTGCTACTGATTGTTTTACTGTATTCTGGTTTTAATGATGGAAGCCGTCCTGAGATGTCATACATATAGGACAGCATATAAAAGTTTTAAATAAATAAATGTGAATCAGATTATTATAATTCTTATTATTTCATTTAGAGACAAAAGGGGCAAAGGTAAGTTTCTATATTTCTACTGGAAATACACTGTGAAGGCTGTTGAGCAACTTCCATTCATTCCAGTGGCACTAATGTAAAAAAATTTCCTGATTGCCTATGCTCCATGTATTAGATAGGCACATCTCCACTGTTCATAGTACCAAACTGTCCTGGGTGGTGCTCTCAACTGCTGCTATCAGCTGGTGTGCAAAGGCAAGAACCAGTGTGTATAGTGTTTAGAGGGTCCACTTGGTTCTAGTCCTCATTTGGCCATAAAGCTAACTAGGTGACTTTGGACATTTACTCTCAACAAATCCAACATCTTAAGCTTGCAGTGAAGATGAAATGGAAAGGAAAAATTTTAAGCACATTTTAGTTTAAGGCCCTTACTGCCAGCATCTAAATCTTAGGAGAACCTCTTCAACCTTTTAGAATGGAAAAGAAACCTTGGAAAGGCTTGGACACCAGCCAAAAATTGGTAGTTGGAAAAAGGGTGAAATCATCTGGGAAACCATAGAAGGCTGAACTAGGACACCAGGAGAGACCAACTGAGACCTCAGAGGTTATGTGCACCTAAGATTCAGACTACTTTACACATTTGTTTATATGCCAAAAGCATATCATTGCTTGTTGTTGTCACTCTCTAATTTGTGACTCTGTTTTGTTCTTTGACAGTTTTCCACCTGTCTCATAAAGTCACCAGTGTGGTCCCTGAGAGTGTTCTCCTCATTGTCCTTGGCCTTTTCCTGGGTGGCATCGTTTATGCAGCAGACCACATTGCCTCCTTCACCCTTACGCCGACAGTCTTTTTCTTCTATCTGTTGCCGCCCATCATCTTAGATGCAGGCTATTTCATGCCAAACAGACTCTTCTTTGGCAACCTGGGCACGATCCTTCTGTATGCTGTCATTGGGACTCTCTGGAATGCTGCCACAACAGGTCTTTCACTGTATGGGGTCTATCTCAGTGGAATCATGGGTAAGGCTGATTTTTTTTTTTTTTTTTTGCAAGCACATTGGCTTCTATCCAGTGTTGGCGTCACTTAGAATAGACCCACTGAAATGATAGGACTTAAAGTGAGTCAAACAGTGGATACAAACTATCATTCTTTCATTATTTGGGTTCTTTGCTTGGGTGGCCAAATTAAGATGAACCATCAGGAAGTTCTTGCCATGCCAGCTGCCTTGGATCCTCCAAGATGGCCACCCTAGGCAACAAGAGACACTGTTGGGACATATCTGCCCAGCAATTATGATAATGGGAACATGAACAGTGATAATTTATTCAGGATAGATAAAGGGAAATACTGTGCAAGTCACAGCCAGGAGGAAGCAGATAGGCGGGGCCACTGGCCTGAGGGACTGATAAGGCCGCGCTCAGCCTTTTGGCTCTGACCTCTTGGCAGCAGGGCTGGGAGAGAGCGCTGAGTGACTAGGAAATGGCGAAGGCAAGGTAGGAGCTGGGCAGAGGAGCAGAGGGCCAGGAGCAGCAGAGAGGAAGGGGGCGGGGCCAGAGAGGCTAGAGCAGCCAGGAGGAAGCGGAGGGGTGGGGTGTCGTCCCTTGGCTGCGGCCCTTGGCTGCGGCCCGGGCTGTCCGGAGACTCCCTTCCCTGAGACACAGAGATGTGATTGTTTGTTTGTTTTGTTTGTGCTGTGCTGTGCTTTGTTTTTCTTCCACTTTAAATTTAAGTTTATTTTATCCTTGTGTGTGTGTGCGAGTGGGTTTTCCTCTGGGAGAACTGGGCGAGTGAGAGGAACTGCAGGACAGACAAGGCAGGGGACCAAGGTAAGGTCTCGGAAGGTATACCGATGGCAGACCAGGAGATGGCCTTGGCGGGAGTCACGGGTGTTGCTGTCTGCTGCGACAGCTGCAACATGTTCGCCCTTCTCCCCCAGGAGAGGCAGGGATACACTTGCCCTCGGTGCAAGATGGTGACCCTGCTAGAAGAGGAGGTGAGGTGCCTGAGGGCCGAGAGAGCTCTCCAGGCCCCCCCCCCCGGAGCAGCCCCCCTCTGGACAGAGGGTTGAGGGAGAGGCCACGGGAGGAGCAGCCGCGGAGACATGGAGGTATGTCACCCACAGGAGGAGGAGGCCAGCACGGACTCCTCCTCCTTCTGGCACCAATCTGGAGCTGGGAAACAGGTTCTCTCCACTTGGGGAGGCTGGGGCTGATGAGGCCTCGGGGGACCAGCAGGACCCCCAGCCTGAGATGTCAGGCAGCAAGGGGACCGCTGCAGGAGAGACGAGGGACAGGGCACAGCCGCCCACCAGCACCGGAAAGGTACGGTGGCGAGGGGCACTGAGCCGGCGGTGGGCCGCCCCAACCTGGAGACAAGGGAGGTTTGCTGCCTGCCAGGCACACATCCGGCATGTGAAGGACAGAGTGGAGCATCTTGTTCGCTCCAGGGGTCACCAGCCGCTCCTGGTGATCCATGTGGGCACAAACAAGGTGGCCAGGCAGGGTGTGGTTGGGACCACCAGGGACTTTGAGGCCTTGGGGAAGAAACTCAGGGAGCTGAAGGCCCAAGTGGCCTTCTC